TGCCCACCCTGCTCCCCTCCCCTGCCGCAGCCAGGAGAGCCGAGGGGAGCACCTGGCCTGGCTGCGAGGACAGCCACAGGCAACCAAAGCCTTCGTAAACAGATCTTATTTCTCCCTGCTAAAGCAGCTTCGATGCAGGGGTGGGATGCTCGAAGGGGTGACACAAGGCACCACACTTCTGGTGCCAGGGCACTGCAACGTGCTGCCGATCAGCAGCTCCCCACCCCCTGTGATCCTTTCCACTGAGGTCATGCTTACACCAGAGTCAGTCCATTTACCTCAAACACACCACTCTGTCATTGCTGCCATTCCAGTCTCCAAATAAATCAGCCCCAAAAGCATTTTTGCACAACACATTGTGTATTGTTGAAAAGGGATGGGAGGAAGGAGGCTTCGAGCCACCATCACCGTAATGTGAGGAAATTACCATGTAGCACACAGGGGTCTGAAAGCTGCAATTAATATCCCACACCTTTCTGAATCCTTTGTGTCATGACAGTCCAGGAAAAAGAGGGTCTGTAGCAATGTCCCCCCACTCCTGCCCTTGGGCCAGTGCCTGGGTGCTGAGTGCCCCATCCCCTTCCCAGAGCCGGAGCAGGACCAGCAGCCCACAGATCCTCCACCTCCAGCTTTCAGCTGGGCTGCTGCAGAATGAAGGCACTAGCAAGCACACTGGCCACAAACCTGGCTGGCTCCATTTTTGGGCACCTGAGCCCATGTCAAGCACAACACATCTCCACAACTTTCCACAAAACAGGTATGGGGTAAGAGAGCCCCTCCTAGTGTTCCCATGGGAATAAAAGACACAGACTGGTCAGAGACAGTACACCCATGTTGGACTCCCATGGGAATAAAAGACACAGGGTGGTCAGAGACAGTACACCCATGTTGGACCTAAACCAGCAGGAACCTCAGCCTCATCAGTCTGACCTCTTTATTTGCCCTTCACAGCACAGGGAGAGCAGCAAGGTTTCCCAGCTAATAATTGGAAAATAACGGTTTTTTACAAATAACCTGCAAACAACCCCTAGGAGAGGAAACTCTCTGCCTAAGGCAGCCTTTGCTCCAAGGCTCCACCACCACAGTGCCCAGAGCCACTCCAGCTCACACCAAGCTTTCCAGAGCCACTACTTTCCACACCTCCCACAGAGATCTGCTGCTGGGGCAGGAACAACCTGGCTGAGCAACCTGCTGCTGCCAACGGCACTTCTGCAGAGCTCTGCACCATCGTGCAGAGGAGAAACAGAGATTTGGGATGAATCACACCATGATTTCTAGGCAAAGTCCCATTAATGGAACTGCTCTGAGGCACTGCAGCTCCTACTCAAGTTCTGGGAGCTGGAAGCCGTATTTATGAGTGAGATATATCCGCAGAGGGAGCAATAAACCGCCAAGCAAAGTATGAAGGTTTGCAGCAAACGCTGTAAAGTTTTACACCCCCGAAAACCGGGAATAAAAGATGCACCCATTTAAAGCAGAGTGGATGGAAAGGGTTTGCACAGGACTGTAAAACAGCCTTATAACAGTTAATTGCTACTTTCGTGTTGCAGCCCAGAGAAATTCGAACCAGGAAGGGAACAGTTTAAACCCTCATCCCAGAGCGAGAGCGCAGAAGGGAGAGCGAGAGGCAGGGAGAGGAGTGCGGGGAACGAGAACCTTTTGTTCGGGATCTCTGCACCACGCGGAGCCAGCGGCGCCTTTTGTTCGGCAATGAGCGCCAGCCCCGGCGGCTCCAGGGGCCCGGGGCGAGTCCCGGCACTTGTTAATTACTCGGTTAACTAACCCCCGCACCGATGCCCGCGCGAGAGGCTCCGCCAGGCGCCTCTCCCTGGCAGGAGGGGCAGAGGGAAGGACGCAGCAGCGGGAGGACTCCTCCAGCCCGACAGGAGCCCTAAAGCACAATCCTTCTGACCACGGTAACAACTCAAAACCTTTTCTGCAACAACCAACTCTCCCCAAAGCAGCAGAACCCAGCGGTGCTGGTAAGGGGTTCACATCCCTACCACAACCTCTGCCCAGCCCCAGCACTGAGCTGCACGTGGAGCCCCCGGGCACCCTCCACCCTCGGACGCCTAAGGATGCTCAGCAGAGAAACCTGGGGAGGGCACAAAGAGCTGCTCAGCAGCTGTTGCACTTGGAAAAACTAGTGCATATTACCCTTTAGGAGCACAGTTGTCACCACCTTTTTCAAATAACCAGTGATTTCAACAAAAGAACAGTTGTTCCCTTCTCCAAAAAGTGTCTGAGACTAGAAATATTTGCCTTTTTGTGCCTGCTTTACACATACTATCATGAACACAACAGAGCGGAGCGGCTAAAGCTACACACACATAAAATAAAGACAAAGGTGCTTCCGTCCCACCCTCAGAGCACACCTCGCCTTCCAGGCACCCCAGCTTACCTGTCTCCAGGGGCAGGGAGGCAGGAAGGGTCCCAGGGTGGGCTCCGATACTGCTGCGGCTCAGATCCAGGTCCTGGCTTGAGCCTGGGGCTGACCCTCAGCACTGGCTGCTTCCAAACAGGTCCCAGGTCACCAACAAGAGCTGTGCTAGTAGCAGAGGCCATGTAAAGGCCACAGCACCAACACCATGAGGTGCTGCGAGTGAAGAGACCCACCCCAGGGCCTCCTGCCCTTTATAACCTCCCAACTGCCACACAGGTGAGGTAACAAGGCCAAGGTGTTCCTCATTAGGCTAATGACACTGCTGTTCCAGCTGGAAGGCCTTTTTTTTTTTTTTTTTTT